TGGCAGAACATGGACTGAAAAGGCAGAAAAATATAGTTGTACAAAAAGTAAGAGCAGGACTTAACTGCTTCCAATAGGTAATGCTGCTGCAGTCCTTTTCTGTCAGTTGACACCTGGACTGCATATAATGGTGCAAACAGACATAACATTTGTAGGGAGACAGCTTGTCAAGGGACTTAAAGCAGATCCAAAATGTAATTTTAATAAATTTGGTGTGCCTGCTTCCCTGCAGGCTGGCTGTGCTCCCTTGGAAGTCCTTCATGCAGTTATCTTAAACAATAGTCCTTGCACTAAAGAAATAAATTAGCAAAACAAAAATTTATCTCATTTTTAGATCATAGGAGAGGCCCTTCAGCTCTGGTTCCTTCTTTATCTGGATCCCTGGGTTCCAGTTGACTGTCTAGCAGTAAACTGCTCCTTCCCCTAACTCACCATTCTCTGCTCTCCTATCTAGGATTTTAGCTGCTAGAGGGATACTCCCTGATTAGTAATTACCTAACTACCCATAGCTGTTCTTCTACAACATAGCTTGTGTGTCTCTTATTAACCGGCCAGAATGACTTGTTACATATCTCTACCCTGAAGAATGGAGTCCAAGATCCACTGTTCCTCATTTGGTTCCTCATTTGCCTCCCACCCCCACCTCACCTCCTTGCCCATGATAAGAGGCCTGCATTGTCATGTACAGCTGCTGGGGGATGGCAGAATTCAAAAGAGTAAGGATGTAGTGCCCAGTACAAATGCATCAGTCTATGATTGGCTACCTTCATTGTGTGTAGCCACATCAGTGCAGCATAGTCCATAAGCATTTCAGCATAGTCCATAGCTAGAATAAGAGGCCTCCAAGGATGTAGTCTTAGGGCACTTGTACACATGCTGATTTGACCATGTACATGTGATGAAGAGTGATGAAAAATTGCCACTTGTGTAGCACAATGTTGTCACCACATACACATGCACCTTTTTTTTCATCTCTAGATTTATTTCAGCATGGCAACTTAGACTACCTTCAACGTATTTTAGTTTGATTGTGGCCAATTGTTCTAGGAAACTTAGTTTTATCGTGGCAAATCCTTCACATGTACATATTGCATGCAGATAAATTTGCCACTTTATGTGTTCTGATGGCCTTTGTCCACCTGGGGCCACTTCAATTCAGCGGTAATTTCATGTAATTTGCCATTTAGTTGTCAGCTGTCTTGTATAATGAATGCCTTTTCACAGAAGGTGTTGCTGCAGACCCTGACATAGATCAGTGTTCTACCTACAGATCAATCTTTGTACCTTAATAAGTTAATTCATTTAATTAAAAGATTTTTTTTTTTTGTAATGAAAGCTGTTCTGTTAGTCGACTTGAAATGTACTTTACTCGCAGCTACAATTTGTGTTGGTGTCTCAAAGACTGGGCAGCTTGAACTATGCCAGGCACCACTGAACACAAGCCCAGCATTTTAAAATGAAAAATCCTCTGAGGGAAAACGACTGGCATCGCTCAGCAAAACATTTTTGCAATAGTGTCCACTGTCTACTGTTGGCATCCAGTTGGATGCTGTTGACCCCATGTCTTGATTGTTCTTCCTGACACTGACAGAACCTGTTCTCCCTCTCTGTTTCCTGATCCAAACTACCATGCAGCACCGTTCTTATGAAGCCATCTTCCTCAGTGCTGAAAAATGGGCTTCATTCAGCAATACAGATCTGAAAACAGTCCCAGACATTGGGTTCTGCTAGGTACCACTGGTGTCCTGTTTGATGTTGCTGACCCCTGTCTTAATTGGTTCTCCTGACATTTTTAGTCCTAGGCATCCCTTTCACTGTTTCTTGATCTCGCCCACCCAGACATATCTCAAGATTAAAAATTCCCAATACCACATTTGCATTGTCTCCCAGCACCCCTGCTTTTTAAAGATGCCATCAGTGGTAACATATATTGTCTGCTTATCAGAACACTTCTCCACCTGAACCATGATTTAAGGCTTTGTCAATTATGGTGTATTACTTTGTACACTCCCCATTTTTTTAAGCATTCCCATTACCACAGGCACAGCTATGTCCCACACCCCAATATTGAAATTCCATGCTGTACTCCATGGGACAGCCATTATGGCTGTACCTTACCAATATAACACACAAAAACTATTTCCCCCACCCCCTCAAGGGACAGCCACAACCACACATCCCCAACAGATACCAGCCACAAATAATTTGCCAATGTGTGCATTGATTGTAGACACACACAGAAACGTAAAAGAATAAGGCTTTATTTTTCTTCTTAAATTATATTCCAAAGATCCTTTTTTGGGCCCCTTTTTTCTGATGTGATGGCTTTTCTGTGGGAGGCAAGATGAGATAGTGGATTTTTCCCTCCCTTTACAGTAGATTTCCTGAATGATATGTCCCCAAGGCTTCTGTAAAAATACCTATGCACTTAGTGTTGCTAAACATCTATCATCAAGGGTCTGTGTGAATGCATCTGCGGTTTACTGATGCACCGCTGGAGGTCCTTTGCAGCCCTACATTCCCAGGAGTTTCTGATCCTCTGATACAAATCTATTGACCAATCAGTATAATCTAATGGAATAATTTGTACACAATAGGAATGCATTCCTATCCTCATCAATTACTAGTCAGTGAAGCATGAGGATTTATGTTTCTTCCATTTTTCCCCCTCATTTTTGTTAATCCACTAATCTACCTGAATATACTTCTCACGGAGACAAACACAACCCTACTCATAGAGACAGTACTAGGTTTACACACCATTTAATTCCCAATGAAAGCCCAATCACCAGGGTATAAGTGGAGCTTCACAGTGACTGACCCTCAGGGCAGAGATGAATTTCACACATGATAAAGATGAAAACCCCATTTAATTTTTTGGATGCTAACTCTGGGATATAAAACAGGGTTAATTAATACATAGTGAATATTGCCCCCTAGACATATTATAGTGGGATAACTTTCAATGTCATTAAATATTTCCTCATTCTCATATTGTGAGAGCTTGGTGGACAGGTGCAATGTATTATTTTGATATTTCAAAATTAAGCACTTTGATTTGTAAATCAAATGATATGTTGACCTCTGAAGAAAACAAAATTGTTTCAATCTAAAAGAAAGAGAAAAGACATATGTTGATAATTGTCAATGATTTTGGAGGGTACAGAACTGTTCATGCAAATTCCAGGGGAGAATGTCAAGGGGAAGCCCCAGAAGAGAAACAGAAAAACAAAATAATTATCTACTCTGTGTGCATCTTGGGATTTTGAGCTCTGCTCTTAAATCGGGTATAAACCAAACTTTCTCATCTAAACCTGAACATGTTAGTTTAAAGAATGCTGGACACATCAACCCACAGGTATACTTTATTGTTCTTTATCTTATATTGTATATTTTAACACATGCATATAAGGCAATCAATGCGCACACTCTGTTTTGCAAAGCGTTAAATACAGTGATTCAGAATGAAGCTTGGCTTATTCCCATGCAACTGTTTTGCATGCTTAGATACTGAGCATTCTACATCTTTCCCCATTTTTTTTCTTGGAGCTGACTGATGGCATTGGAACAAAGTCTGCAGACAGTGATGTGAGTTTGCTCTTTAAAAAAAGAGGAATGTTGCAATTTGGGGGGTTAATAACCAGAGCTAATGGAAACCTGGCATTTTGTTTTCATTTAAATATCCAAAATTTAAAAGTCTTTTTTTCTTTCTTAAGATTTCAAAATTTAACACCCCCGCCCCCCTTTTAGTTATGAAAAGAAAAGAAAACTTCAGGCAAATACTTGCTTTCATTTGTTTTTCCTTTTTCATGTTTTATGAGGCTTCCCTTTTATTTTGATTCTTATTCCTCACCTTTATACTGTCTATCCAGTCCTGTTTTTAACCAAATTTAAATGGAAAAGGAAATGGAAAGAAAAAATGAGTAACTAAAAAGAAAAAAAAACAAAAACAAACAGCCCCTAAACAAACACAGAAAAAAAAAACAAACTTTCCCTGCTCATAATGTTAAGTCTCATCTAATTAGTGTAAAAACCCACAGATTTGTATAATTTCGTGTCTGAAAATTTTATTTTTAACAAAATGGAATGAATTAATTAATTAATTAATGTGTTTCAGGTAGCCTATTTGGGAAGTATTTGATTTCCCAGATTATCTCTGCCACTATTATTACAGATCACCTCAAAAAATTAGTTGTCAATGAAGCTGTGCTGGATTAAATAGTAGGGCAAATCTGTGAAGCAAACTGACCTGTAAATTGGCAATGTCCATTCAGTGCCTTCAATCAGCTATTTCCAATAGGTGGTTTTTATAAATGCTATTAAAATGGATTTACATGGAAAGATAAAGAAAAGAATGGAATGTACAAAGCTCAGGTTTCTTAAAGAAACTAACATGACTGAGCACCTTGCAGGACTCAGCACACAATAATTGTTCATATGACAGACATAATGAATGAAAACCTTACTCAACTAAATCATGAGCAAATGTTTCACTGGCTTCAAGTGAGACAGATTTTCAGTGACGGTAACTTTCATTGTTTCTTTTAGATTTCCTTTCTCCTATGAAGTGGACTGGCAAATATATTTAAACATGTCCTTGTCTTTAAAAGCTACTTCCGTGAATGCAGGTGGGTCTTTCTTTAGTGCTGTGAGTTGTATTCCCCATGGCTTCCAAGAAGAATGGCGTAATGATGTTGCCTATACACATGTGTTGAACAGAAAGAGCCCATCCTCTCTGTTAATGTTCAATCAGTGAGTGATTCTGATTGTTGTCCTCTTGCTATTACTTTCCACCTTTATCTCATAAGGGAGTGCGAGCAGAATAAAGGATGGAAGTTGGTAACAGAGCCATGGATGAGTTCATTTTCTTAGGTTTCAACCATCAACAGCCTCAGGTGAAGATTACCCTGTGTTTTGCATTTATCATGATATATGCCTTCATCCTGGGGGGGAATCTTGCTATAATTACTCTCATCAGCAGCAGCCCCTGACTCCATACCCCTATATACTTTTTCCTTAGCCACTTAGCTTTTGCTGACATATGTATTTCATCATCAGTGGCCCCCAAGATGCTTGTTGGTCTCTTTGTGGGGAGAACAAACATTTCATACATCGTTTGTGCTGCCCAGTTAACTTCCATTGTGACTTTTGGCACTGTGGAGTGCCTCCTCCTGGCTGCAATGGCATATGATCGTTATGTAGCCATCTGTAACCCCCTGCTCTATAAGGTCATTATGTCCCAGAACCTCTGTATGTGGCTGGTGGCTGTTTCATATATAGGGGGCTGAATGAACTCCATGGTATTTCTCACTTGTGTATTGAGTTTATCTTTCCAAGGGACTGTTGAACTTGATCATTTCTTCTGCGATCTGCCTGCATTGCTGAAGCTGTCCAGCACTAACATAACTATAACTTGCACTCTCCCATCTGTCTCATCTGGTTCCATCCTATCTGTGACTCTGCTGATCATCACATTCTCTTATTTCTGCATCCTCTCAGCCATCCTGAGGATTCACTGTGCTCATGGCAGAAAAAAAGCTTTCTCCACCTGTGCCTCCCATCTCACTGCTGTCACTTTATTTTGTGGAACAGTCTCATTTACTTATCTGCAGCCTGGTTCCAATATTTCAATGGACCAGGCCAAAACAGTGTCTGTCTTCTTTGTGATGGTGATCCCCATGCTAAATCCTCTCATCTACAGCCTGAGAAACAAGGAGGTGAAAGATGCAGTAGAAAGAAGAATGAGGAAAACATTTTGCTAAATGACTGGCTTTTTCCGTGTCATATTAACCCATAAGTTACAATTTATTATTTGTCCATTTTAATGAGTTCTAAATTAATGTTCAGTACTCAGGAATTAAAACAAACACACATAGACATCATTGCAGTGAATGCACTAAAGCTCTCTGCTAACTTTGTAGTAATATCTATTAAAGCCACAGAATAGTCCAGAAAAGTTTTATCAGATTAACTTATTTACCATGTTTCATAATATGAAGGATTTGTGGTATAAATCTTCATCTTGAGTGTGCAGCTGTGGATATGTCCCACAAGCTTCAATAGGTAATGTTGATTCATACCAGCTGGGTATCAGGTCCTGTTGACTTAATGGGATCTATAGCTGATTTGCTTGTGTTGGGGATAGCATCTTATTCATTTCAGTGGACCCATGTTCATTCACACCAGCTGAGAACCAAACCCTTTGGTTTCAAGGAACAGTCTTGCATAGGGTAATACCATTCACTATTTAAGGATAAACCAAACTTGTGGGGGGCGGGAAAGGTGGGGGGGGGGGAACGGAAAGGGAGATGGTAAATAATGGGGAAGAATATACAGATCCTATTCTGAGTCATCCTTCAGAGCACTACTTTATTTGTGGAGTCCTCCATTCTAAAGAGGCAGAATTGTGCCTAAACTTGTCACAAAACACAAATAGATAAAAATGAGAATGTAAACAAGCATGTAGCCTCATTGAAAGTAATACAAACAGCCTAGAAAAAGAAACAGGAAGAGTTACAAATCTCCCTACTTCCCAGCCATAGGATAACAGTGCTTCTGAAGATAGTTTGCTTGCAAACTGGTTGTGTTGCATCATGGTCATCTTCTTGCAAATTCCTGATTGGGTAAGTGCCTCAATGAAGGAAGTCAGTCATCGTGCAAGGATTGATTTTATGTAATTCTATGGAATCTCAGACAACGTTCTTTGAGTAAATCTGTTAATTTTTATTAGACCAACTCAAATATTTGGAAAAATTATTCTTAGCAAGCTTTTGGGCACAGACACCCTTCATCAGGCTGAGGAAACATCTGCAGATGGTCTGTGCTCTTCCAGGATGGAGTAGTAAAGCAGCTAGAGGCCAGTACATATGCAGGAAAGCCAGTCAGTTAAAATGTAAATTGTGGTGGTCAGTAGGTGAGAAACAGGTTGGGTTGGGGGGGGTGGGAATGAAAGTGACTGTAGTCAAAGGATATGGGGGGGCAGGGAGGGAATGAGAATCACTGGTAAACAGTGAAGGGCTTACCTGGGAAGTCTGTTAAGCAGGTTATAATGTGTTATAAATCCAATGTCTATAATTAGTCCATGATTTTTTGTATCCAGTACAGCAGACTCATTTATTCTCATTCATTTATGGACTCTCATGAATGCAGCCCAGAACTTCACCTGTCTGAACTCTATTTGAAACCAAACGCGTGTTATTGGATCTGAAGCTAGATTTACTCCACATATGATTACTCCACACAAGATTAAGATTAATTTCAAGATTTTTATACACTTTTTGCAATTTAAAATTCACCCACATAAGTGAAAATCATTCACACTTATGAACAACAGAGAAGTTTTTATACTAACCTGACACCTCTCCAAACCCCCTAAAAGTCAAAGGAAAGACCGCGTACATTGACAGTTTGACATCGAAATTAAGTGCGATAATGACAGAAGTGGTGATTTCCCCAGAAGCCTACTGGTTAGGAGATTTTCTCTGGGAGTGGGAGACTTGTGTTCCAGATCCACTTCAGCCAGAAGTGTTTTGAACCCTCATTTCCTACTTGCCATAATAATATCCCACCCACCAGGCCAAGGCCATCCTATTCTTTTTCATTTTGAAGTTGGGCCTCTGGGCAAGAGAGAGAGACAGGGACAGGGACAGAGACAGACACAGAGAGAGAGAGAAAGAGACCTGGGCTTCAAAGTTAAACAAGCAAAGTGGACTATGACTTTGTTATGTATATGTAAAGCACTTAGCAAAGACAGATGTATTCTGTGTTCTTCTGTCTGACTGTTGTATTCATTGCTCATTTTATGTGAGGACTCTTCGAGCCAAAATACACAACTGTGGCAATGTGGATTAAAACCTGATTTATTTTTCCTAGGAGACAGTGCTATGCTTCCTCTTTCTTACTCCCTAAATTTTCTGTGGGTTGACCTTACATAGTTATTGAATAAATATGAAAATGTATATGTATATGTAAATGTATATATGCAGGGGCTAGAGGTAGAAGCCAGGGCTTTATTCTTCCAAGGATGATATCTTTGTCATTGGTCCATTGATTCATATTCTCTTTTCTTACCTTCCTTGTAGACTCTGCCTCCCTAAGCCTGCAGAATAATGACAGGGTTTCAAAAGGAATTGTCCCCAGCTTTGCTTATGAAATGGCCTGGTGGCTCAGGTAGACTAGGGAGAAGTAACAGATGTAATGTCCAAACTCCTTGAGCTAATGTGAAGATGGAACCCAAACAAAACAAAACAAAAAAACCCTAAACACTCAGAAAATAGGCAACAGCTGGTTTAGACCTCCTCCCTTTGTCTTCAGGTCAGCAGGGTGCACTGATGGACATCATCTCAGTGTGCACTAAACCATAATAGTGTGTGCCCTACCTACAAAAGCTGAACCAGTGTGGATTGTGAATTGAGGGAAATTATGTTAGGTTGTATGTAAGTCTGCTCTTTCATGGAATGAGTGACTTAAGTGTGCATCTCCCTGGGGATGAAGATCAACTCCCTTGGTCACAGCAAACTGACCATTGATGAACTACAAGAACTTGGCTTCTTAGAAGTGGAATAGGATCAGCTCTCCTAAGGGATGCATCTAAAGTTTAAGGTAGGTAGCAAGCTTAATCAAAAGACACTTTAGTGTCAGAACAGGGCCTGACTAAACTTATTTTTCCCAAACCTTGTATTTATATAGTACCATGAGGCTACAAATGAATCTGTCACATCACCATCCTTTGTGTATTTAAGACCCAAATCATCCTCTTCTATCAATGAAGACACTATGTTTTCTGTGAGTTATCATCTGCTAACTCCTATCTTGAATTCCAGCATTTATAGCCTTAGAAACAAAATAATTAAATTAACCCTAAGGAAATGAATATTCCACTCATTTTTCATTAAAAATAGGTGAAAAAGATGTAATCTGTGGTAATTTCTGTAAATCCATGAGCTCTGGATGATATTAAAAAGGAACTAATGCATGAAATCCTAAATCTCACAGGATGCCACAATGACTATATTGGCCACACAAACCCTAAATACATATTAAAACTCACTGCACATAGGGCAAACCAATCCTGGAATGATTCCCCATGTAAGATGGTGCAGAACACACCTACTGCCTCAGGAGATGAAGGTGAACTATTCACGTGGTGCCTGAAGAGGAACTCCCTACTCCATTAGCATCCAGATATGGTGGTTCATCCCCCAGCCTCTTCCAGCTTTTAGTTTAGCACAGGAGAGTGGAGAAAAACTGGGATTCTGAACCATGACAAGAAAAAGGCAGCATACAATGAATCCCAGCTAATGAAAATGAAGTCTTTGAGGCTGGCCAGACCTTGTCGCTTTCCCGTATTTCAGAGTTTAGTGGATACTATGGGATCATTCATATCTCCATCTGGGAGATGGATTTTTTTTTTTTTTACATCCTCACTAGGCTTTAACAAATCCTTCAGACCCTCATTTGTTCTCTGCTAATTAAGTACCGATGAAATAAGCTTCCACGTTGTCCCACTTCCAAACCATTGCCCTCCCTCATATAACTTCTGAAAGACCATAGGGACAAGAAAAGTAATCAGATTGAAAACTGAAGCAAGATCACAGGCCTACCCGATTCCTGACCAGCTGCTCAAAAACAGGAGACAACACACATCTATAACAAGTTAAAACTAATAGCTGGGTTTTTAGTGGTTAGCTAGGTATAACTAGCAACAAATCCCTAACCTGAACCCTGCACACTGGCCTGCAGCAACTATCTGTGGGAGGCCCATTATCCTCCATTATTATTTTGTTTCTGGCAGGTATATGCACAGGGGTTACTTTATCATAGAATAAGTTGTCATCTAAACTATGCACCATAAACAGGTACACAACTATGTACTTGCCATTTCAGTGCACAGAGTGAACTAAGTTTTAATGCTAAGTGTGGCAGTGGTAGACCCTGTCTTATGCCAAAGAGTCCACCAGTTTATAGACTTTTCCAAGAAGCATGCCTGTGAGATAGGACTTAGGCCACAAAGAATCATAGTCTCCTAGATTCATAGAAAAGTAGACCTGGGAGGGACCTAAAATCATCCTATGCACTCTATATTTCTAAACTCTATGTAAGATTACCCTCAACCTTGGTACAACAGAGACCTAATACCCTAACCGGCCACAGGTAAAGCATGGGAACCACAGCAGCCAATTTACTGCTTTAATGAAACGTTGTCAATATATGCTCAAGAGATCCCAAAGGAGGGCCTCACCCCCCCCCCCCCCCCCACCACCACCCCCCCCCCCCCCCCCCCCACTACCAAGGAAATCAAAACCCACCATAGTCAGTCCCCGTCTGACCATGGGGTAAACTTCCTTCCTGATGCCAGATATGGTAATTGATTTAACCCTGAGCAGAGGGGCAAGATCTGCTGGCCATGAAGCTATGGCTTTGGTCCCTGCAGGAACATTGGCACACCCCAGGCAAAGTCTGTATCTAAGAATCAATGCCTCTGAGGAAAGCTTAAAAACACTGTGACACACATAACAGAAACTTTGGTGCAGGGGGAAGGGAAACAGAAGCAACCAGAATCATGGGGGATACCCATAGAAGAAGATAGGCATAGCTATGCCTAGATCAGGGCTGGGCAATTATTTGGGGTAGGGGGTAACTTACGGAGTTGTGGTGAGCAGTTACAGGCTGGAGAGGTGTGGGTGGGGGCAGTGATGTCCCAGCCCAGTACACCAGGAGGGTGTAATTGATCCTATCTGGCCCCGAGTCCATCTTCCCTGCA